CCGACGTTCCAAGCAACGCCCCTTATTCACAGCTCATGAAACAAAGAGGTTAGGCATCCCGAGTTCATAATGGTTGGAGAGTCATTCTACTTACACTATGGGACCTAATATTTATTTTCTTTCTGATGACCTAGTTTTTGTAATTAGCCAAAACGCACTGTTACACTATTAGTAGCTACCGCTTAGCAAAACCAAAGCTTACATTCGTCGAACAAAAACTATCTCTGAACAATCGAACGATGATTAAAAAGTGATGTCGCTTAACACCGTCCGCGTTGCATTGTGGTTGTTTTGATTCGTTTTCGGGTGAGCCGTCCAAGGGTTTACTTCCTGTAGAGTGACGTCACTTCCTCCGCTCTCCCCAACACGGCCCCGTCCCCCGCGCGAGACGGGCGACCGTTGGTGACGTCACCAACGCTGACGCGCGGTGGGTGGGGGCGGTGGTTGCGGGGGGGGGCAGCGGAGGGGGGGGGGGCAGTCGGGTGGTGGGGGGGGGCAGCGGCGAGGGGGGGGCGGAGCAAATCGACGACCACGCCCCTGACCCCCGACGTCACCGCGAGGACCCCCACCACCACCACGACCGCCCGAGCTGTCGGTGTAGGCGGCCGTGGCGCTCCACGCGGGGTGCCGCCGCCTGTCTGCCGCAGGTGAGGGGGGGGGAGGTGCTGCGGATGCGGCTGCGCGGTGCCTCTCGCCGCCTTTGTCGAGCTCCGCGGGGGGGTGGGAGGGGAGAAAGTGCGTGGCCGGCGATGGAGCAGGTGGTGGTGGTGGTGTGGGTGGTGGTGGTGGTGTGGCTAAACACCCCCTTCGGCAAACCAAAACTCTGTTAACCCCCCCCCTCACTCATCATTTATTGGGGGTTCCCCCCCCCCCCACCCTCCTCCTCTACCTCCTCTCTCATCTCCCTCCTCTCTCATCTCCCTCCTCACAAACGCCGCCGCCTCAGCCCCTGCGGGGGGGTGAGGGGCGAGCGCGCGCGCGGCGAAGCCTGCGGCCTCGTTAGGCGAGGAGGGCGCGAGACGCCGCCGGGGTCAGAGGTCGCCACCGCGCGCTCGCGTGGTGACGTCACCGCGCGTCTTCATCTCCCCCCCCTCGTGCCCCGCCCCCCCCCCCCCGTAACCTCTTCACTGAACGCTCATCATCATCAGCAGCAGGATCATCAACAGCAGAATCAGCATCAACAGCAGAATCATCAACAGCAGAATCAGCATCACCAGCAGCAGAATCATCAACAGCAGAATCAGCATCATCAACAGCAGCATTGTTGTGTAATCAGCAACAACATCAGCAGGATAATCAGTAGAAATATCACTATTAGCAGCAGAATCATCAGCAGGATAATCAGTAGGAATATCACTATCAGCAGCAGCAGAATCATCATCATGATAATCAGTAGAAATATCACTATCAGCAGCAGCAGAATCATCAGCAGGATAATCAGAAACATCACTCAGCAGCAGAATCATCAAAATCAGCAGGATAATCAGTAGAAATATCACTATCAGCAGCAGCAGAATCATCAGCAGAATAATCAGAAAAAATATCATCACTATCAGTCGCAGCAGCATCGGCATTGTTGAGTAGCAACTTGACATGCAGTGGCATCAGCATTGTGGGTATAATCGGCAACATCAGCATCATCAGCAGCAGACACCACTTGAGTAGCAGTGTCATTATCAACAGCATTAGCAGCATCATCAGCAGCAGAAATGTCACTATCTTCAGCATTGTTAGTATAATCAGCAACATCAGCATCATCAGCAGCAGACATCACTTGAGTAGCAGTGTCATCATCAACAGCATTAGCAGCATCATCAGCAGCAGAAATGTCACTATCAGCAGCATTGTTCGTATAATCAGCAACATCAGCATCATCAGCAGCAGACATCACTTGAGTAGCAGTGTCATCATCAACAGTATTAGCAGCATCAGCAGCAGCAGAAATGTCACTATCAGCAGCATTGTTCGTATAATCAGCAACATCAGCAGCAGCAGACATCACTTGAGTAGCAGTGTCATCATCAACAGCATTAGCAGAAGCAGCAGCAGCAGAAATGTCACTATCAGCATTGTTGAGAAGCAACTTTCACTAGTAGCATCAGCATTGCTACTATCATCAGCAACATCAGCAGCAGCAATAAAATCAGAAATATCACTATCAGCAGCATTGTGTAATCAGCAACATCAGCAGCAGCAGACATACCCCTATGAGCAACAGCAGCGTCATTATCAACAGTAGCATCAGCAGAAATATCACTGAGTAGCAGTGTCATCATCAACAGCATCTTCACCATCAGCAGCAGAAATGTCACTATCAGCAGTATTGTTACTATAATCAGCAACATCAGCATCATCAGCAGCAGAAATGTCACTATCAGCAGCATTGTTAGTATAATCAGCAACAACATCATTAGCAGCAGACATCACTTGAGTAGCAGTGTCATCATCAACAGCATTAGCAGCATCATCAGCAGCAGAAATGTCACTATCAGTAGTATTGTTGAGGAGAAACTTTCACCAGTAGCATCAGCATTGTTACTATAATCAGCAACATCAGCAGCAGCAGACGTATCCCTATGAGTAGCAGCAGCGTCATCATCAACAGCAGCAGCATCAGCAGAAATATCGCTATCAGCAGCATTGTTAGTATAATCAGCAACATCATCAACATCATCAGCAGAAATATCACTGTCAGTAGCAGCAGCGCAATCAGCAGCAGCATAAGTGGCATCAGCATTGCTCGTCAAATCAACAGCGTCATCAGCACCAGAAATATCATCGCTATGAGTAGCAGCAGCGTCATCAGTAGCAACTTCACCAGCAGCATAAGTGGCATCAGCATTGTCGATATAATCAGCGACATCATCAGCGACGAGCATAGGCATTGTCAGTAGAATCAACATCAGCAGCAACAGCTTAATCAGTAGCATCAGCCTTGTCAGTAGCGTCAGCGTCATCACCAGCATCAGGAACATCAGTATATAAATAGCTTCAGTAGCTTCATTCGAAGCTTTCGTGACTGCGGGAATCCATACTCTTTGGGTTATTTCGACAAAGTCGTCACGTAGAGTAGAAATCAAATGAATAACGACGTTTCGAACGCAACAATAGGCCCCCCGTCTTCAGGTGAAAATCGCGATAGCCGCCGATATCTGCTGCGAGCGGCACGATGTCTGCTGCGTTGAGCGCTGGCGTTGCGTCCGAAACGTCGTGATTTATTTTGTTTCATTTCCACCTACGTGACCTTACCGGAAGAACCAAAGAGTACGGCTCCCGTGTAGCATCGGCACTATCAGTAACGCAATTTTCCGTAGCATCGGCAACAACATCATCGTCAGTGTTATTGGTTTCACGAGTCATTCAAATCAGCACTATTAACATCATCATCATCAATCGCGCGCATTTACCAGTAGCAGCATATTCTTGGTTCTTTCGGTAAAGTCACCACGTAGAAGGGAAACAATAAAAAAAATATATAAAAAAACACTAAAATTCTCACGACGTTTCGGCTGCAACACAAGCAGTTGAAACGTCGCGAGAATTTTATTGTTTTATGTATATTTTTTATTATTGTTTCCCTTCTACGTGGTGACTTTACCGAAAGAACCAAGAATATGAATCCCTGCAGTCACGAAAGCTTTAAATCAAAATTTAGTAGCGGCACAGTTAGTTAAGTAATTCCTAAAAACTATTTTTTTGTGATCTTACCAGGTAAAACACTGACCTATGTAGCTCTTTTTTCAGATGCAACCTGGCCACAAGTGATGGCCCAACGAAGCGGCTTATCACGTGGACATTTATAGCAGCCAAATACTCGAAACGCGTGTTAATTTTGATTCTAAATTTGGAGGGAAATACCGGAGGACCCGGAGAAATATCCACGCGACCACGGGGAGAACACGCATTATATTGTTTTCAAATTTTACTAAATCTTGTTCGATTCGATGTGCTTCTCCATCTCTCTTTGTCTCCCCTAGATGCTAATGCCTCGGCACAGAGACCCCCATCTCTCTGTGCTCCGTACGTTGTGTCTCTCTTTGTGTCTCTGTGTTAGCTCCCTCCACTTAGGTGTCTGTATATATATCTGCGGTTCTGTGTTTCCTCTCTCTTAAAATTGAGCTCTTCTATACCTGATGATGATTGCTTGCGTTGCAATCGAAACGAACGTATGCCATTATGCAATTTTTATTATTGTTTCTTATTTCTACGTGACTTTACCGAAAAAAAACCCAAAGAGTAATTCCTGCAGTCATGAAAGCGCCAAATCGAGTTTGAACACGCAAACTCCAAATATACGGCAGGCGTCAGGGTCCAGATCGAACTTACGACCTCCCGTATACCAGGCGAGGTAGTTGACATCACCACCGCAGCTGCTGCAATACATTTCCGCGCGATGGGCCACTTTGTTGAGCTATCGTTTGCGATAGCCAGGGTCGATTCTGTAAAAGCGCCGCGTATCTCAGTGGGCCGCAACCCGGTAGGATGGACAGCTTTTTTGGCGCTCAGTTTGTTGTCCTTTCCCTGCGCGTCATCGGTTGGCACGGTTGGCCACGTCCGGTGCGAAGGAGGCTCTACGAACGTGCGTACCGTACGCGTGCAAATTTTTTTAAAAACCGTTTAGATTCATCCACAAAACAGGTGGTTTTTATTTGGGGTTAGATCGCGACAATCCTCAAGAGGGTTTGTGTCGCGTAAACGGAACGTGCCGTTCGTAATGCAGGTTGTTTGGGTTAAGATCGCGTAAATATATAAATGTGTCGTTAAACCCGCCACCACCAGACAATTAGTAAGGGGTTTGTCACGTAAACAGAACATGCCAATTCGTTACTAGTAAAGCACTAGTGTAGTGTATAGTGTAGTGTATAGTGTAGTGTATAGTAGTGTGTAGTGTCGTGTGTAGTGTATAGTAGTGTATAGTGTAGTGTATAGTGTAGTGTATAGTAGTGTATAGTAGTGTATAGTGTAGTGTATAGTAGTGTATAGTGTAGTGTTTAGTAGTGTATAGTGTAGTGTATAGTATTGTATAGTGTAGTGTATAGTGTAGTGTATAGTGTAGTACAGCACACCGGCGTGTTATCGGGTGGCGGCGGGGGACACGTATATTTGCACGATCTAACGCAAAACAAACCGGTGTGACGGACGATATTGGTCGCGAAAGCCTACTGCCTCATTCGACCTCCTTTGCCAGTACCAAAATATAATAATAGGGGTTTTCCCCTTTTTCCCTGGCAAGGACAATGCATCATATATTATCATAGTATGTTTTTTGTTTGCATTTTGACTGCAGGTATTGTGGTTAATGCAGCAACGGGAATCCTTGTAAACAAAAGTTTCAGATTTGTTGCCATAAAAAAAGGTGGAAAAACCCCTATTATTATTATCGCCTACTGCCTGTTAAACTGTTGAGTTTTTTCGTTCACCGAGACGGAACGTGACGAGGGACTTGACCAGGGGTGGGCAAATTTTTTGACTCGCGGGCCACAATGGGTTCTAAAATTTGACAGAGGGGCCGGGCCAGTAACGGATGGACGGAGTGTTTGTGTGAACTAAGTATAAATGACGTGTTAAAAAATCATTACGCGAGAGGATTTGGCCTTTAACAGGCGGCAAAGCATTTATACGCAAGGCAATTTAACGAATTGCACGAATGTGAACGATACAGAAAAACACGCCGTAACTCCCGGTCGAAGTGCGCCATCTAATGGGGAAATGGGGGCACTACAGGAGAAAGGTAAAATTTAATTTATTTATAATAATTATTATATTTGGACAGGTTCGGCGGGCCGGATCAAAAAACCCAACGGGGGCCGCACTTTGCCCACGTCTGGTCTTGACCGATTTGCTGCGCGCTTGTTGCACAGCGCGCGTCTGCCGGGAGCAGGGCCCATGGAGCAAGAGATGGCGATGGCGCCCCCTGCCCTCCCCCCTGCTCCCGCCCTCCCGCTCGCGGGGCCCCTCCCCCAGCTCCCCCCGCCGCCCTCCCTCCACCCGGCCGCTACCGCCCCCGACGACGAACCCTCGCCGCACCTCCTCCCTCCTCGTCCGCCGCCTCCGCCGCCTCCGCCGCCTCCGCACAAGATGCACCGTTGCGACCACTGCGCCTACAGCACGCGGCGCAAGGGCCACCTGGACATCCACGTGCGCACGCACACGGGCGAGCGTCCGCACCCGTGCGGCGAGTGCGGCAAGGCGTTCACGCAGCTCGGCGACCTGCAGAAGCACCGGCGGACGCACACGGGCGAGCGCCCGTACGCGTGCACCGTGTGCGACAAGCGCTTCTCGCAGATGGAGCACCTGCTGACGCACCACCGCACGCACACGGACGAGAAGCCCTACAAGTGCCCGCAGTGCGAGAAGGCGTTCACCATCTACGGCAACCTCCAGCGGCACATCAAGGCGCACTCGGGCGAAAAGCCCCACCGCTGCCCGACGTGCGGCAAGGCGTTCACCGTGCTCGGCAGCCTCCAGCGGCACCAGACGACGCACACGGGCGAGCGGCCGCACAAGTGCGCCGCGTGCGGCAAGGCGTTCGCGCAGTCGGGCGACCTGCAGCGCCACGTGCGCACGCACACGGGCGAGAAGCTGTACGTGTGCGCGGCGTGCGGCCGGGACTTCACGCAGCTGGGCACGCTGCAGAGCCACCAGCGGACGCACACAGGCGAGAAGCCCTACAAATGCCTCGCGTGCGGCAAGGCGTTCACCAACTCGTCCAACCTGCGGCAGCACGAGCGGACGCACGTCAAGCAGCAGCAGCAGCTGCTCGAGCAGCAGCAGCAGCAGCAGCTGCAGGAGCAGCAGCGGCGGCAGCAGCAGCAGCTGCAGGAGCAGCAGCGGCGGCAGCAGCAGCAGAGGAAGCGGCGGCGGTCGCAGCAGAAGGCAAACGACGCGGAGGCGCCTCGGGCGCTGTTGCCCGCCAGCCCCGAGCTCAAGTCGGAAGCCGTCGACGACGACGACGACGACGACGGAGGGGCCAGCGAGGAGAGGAGCGACGAGGAGGGCAGCGGCGACGAGGAGGGCAGCGGCGACGAGGAGGGCAGCGGCGACGAGGAGAGGAGCGACGGGGAGTTGAGCGACGGGGAGAGCGACGACGGGGCATACGCGGGACGCCGACGGCAGAGCGTCGAGCTCGACGACGAAAACGCCGACGACGACGACAACGCCGACGACGATGACGACGATGGCGGCGACACTGTCGCCGCCATCGTCGTGCCCAAGGTGGAGCCCGCGGAGGAGACGACCGCGGAGCCGGGCGCCAAGCCCAACATCAAACTCAACATCAAACTCCGCATCAAGCCGCGGGCGGCCGCCGCCATCGCCGCCGCCGCCGCCGAGCCCGCGGCGGCCGTGGGAGCGGGCGGCAGACGCGGGGCCAAGCGTAAGGCCAAGCTCAAGGCCGAGTTCGGCGCGGAGCAGCGTGGCCCCGAACTCGAAGCGGACGGTACGCGGGACGGCCCCAGCGTCAGCCCGTGAACCGCCGCGACGCGGCCGCCCGCCCTGGCCACCGTTCGACGCCCACCCCCCACCCCCGCCCCCCCCGCGGCGGTTCTGGACGCTCGCGGGAGGAGAGAGCCGAGAGAACATGGTGCGCGGCTTCACCTCTTCGTTTTCGTCGCAGGATCAGTGTTTCCCGACGACGTCCGCTACGGCGGGGTTCGGGTCGGTTTTGTTCGAGTGTTTCGCGATCGGAGGCCGCCGCTCGCGTGGCTTGCAACAAACGAGCGGTGACGTGCGTGGTGAACGCGGCGTTCTCCGCCCCACCCCCCCCCCCTCCCCCCCACCGGCCCTGCTCGTCGGCCCCCCGAGCCAGCTTCGGACGACTCATTGCGATGCCAGCGGCAGCAGAAACATCATGCTTTAGTTTCCAGCAAACGGCCAGTGGGGAAAATCCAACCGTACCGTGCTGGCCCCGCGCTGGCTCAGTTCGGATGTTGGCAGTGGGAAAAAAAAAAACACCCGTACCGTGCTGGTTCCCGCGCTGGCTCGGTTCGGATGTTTCCAGTGGGAAAAAAAAACACCCGTACCGTGCTGGCCCCGCGCTGGCTCGGTTCGGATGTTTCCAGTGGGAAAAAAAAAAACACCCGTACCGTGCTGGCCCCGCGCTGGCTCGGTTCGGATGTTGGCAGTTGAATGGGGGAGTTGGTGGGGGGGGGATTTGTTGGATTTTGGGTTCCACGTTGGGGGGAGACTCAACTTTTCGCCGTGAAGTTGACCGTGTTGTTCCCGAAGGAACCGGTGGACAATTGGGAGACGGTCCGGGAAATCTTCGCGATTGGACGCTCGGCGACAGCGACACGCGGACCAAAATAATCCGTGACTCGATTAGCTGCTGTCTAAACGGAGAGCCGTGCAGAATGGCTTGGCAAAGGCGTACGCACACACAAAGGCAAAGATACCCCCGTATAGCCTTGACAGCCTGCCGGGGCAAGTGCTGTTGGCGAGCAGCACCTATGAAGTCCGGCACTGTGGCACACGAGGGGGTGGGTGGCCAGCACCAGTGCAGCGCAGACCGCTACCACCACCGCTCCCCCCACAACCTGTGCACGCGCCGTGCGGAGGAGGTGTCTGGGCCGTCGGGCTCAACCCCACGGCTAATCTTGCGGCCGCTGAGCCAGACACCGCGTGAAGAAGTTGTGTTGGGTGGTTCGACAAGCCGCAAAGATATTCTCGTACGCGAGAGTCTTTTGTGTGGGCTACCCGTACGTGTATTTAACTTTTGGTGGAGTTATTCTTTTGCATGGGCAGATTCACTCAAATGCGGTCATTCACCGATGGCTTCTCGCCGTGAGGATGCAGACCTCGCAAAGTCGGGGGGGGGGTAAAACAATCGGTTGAAAATAATCGACGTCCCGTTAGTCGCGCGTTCGTTTTTCGCTCCGAGCCGTCTTGGTTTGGGGGGGGGGGGTCGGGCGAGTTGGCGGAGGGGTGGGGGAGTGCGCGGAGAGCGGGCAGCCGATGGGCGTGCGACGGGCGGCTAGGCCGTGAAAAAATTCTTCAGCTCGGGGCTCGTAGCCAAACAAAGCAAGAAGGTTTGAGAACGACCACCGCGGAGAGGCCTCGGGCACGCGCAAGGAGAGGCCCCCGGTCCGGGCCTACGCGGCGCCTATCGGCGACAACCGTCGTTTCAGCCGCGGAGCGAAGGGGGGCGCAAGACGATGGGCGTTTTGAGGGCCGGCGGAGGGAATCGCTTTGAGCCGTCGGCGGCCGCCTCGCCGAGCCGCGCCGAGCGTACGGGCGAAGGCCTTGGCCCACCGCGCGTCTTCTTGACCTGAGGCCATTACGAGAATGTCCTGGGGGGAAAAGGGGGCGTCGTAGGGGGCGGCACGTCCCTTGCCCCCCACGACTCCTCCAGCTAATCCGCCCTGCCCCCCCCCCCCTCTCCCTCACCCCTCAAAAGCTAACGAGGGCAAAAAGAACTCTAAACTAAAACCGCAACTATTTATTGTTTATTTACCGGGTAAGGCCCCCCCCCCCACTGATGAGCTGTGCGGCTCCTTTATGAGAAGCGACCCTGGCTGGCACAAACCACGAAGTGGCCGATGCCGTAGTCGCGGGGAGGATTTTTAGCGGCGGTGATGTTGACTTCTAAACGCGAAGGGGGAAAAAAGGGAGGGCCCGGTTGGAGATGGGGAAAAAACAAACGCAAACTCCAGATGTACGGCAGGCATCGTCAGGGGGGGGGGGGGGGGGGCGGCGTCGAACCCACGGTCTCCTGCGTGCCAGGCGAGGAGGCGGTTAACATCTCCCAGCCACCGTGGTGATGATTAAAAGAGAGACGCACTAACGGCTACAAACATACAGCAGCGGCGGCGGCGGCAGGCAGGCACCGTCAGGGGTCGGGGTCGAACCCACGCACTTCCTGCGTACCGGGCGAGGTAGTTAACATCTCCCAGCCACGATGGCGAGCGGTAGAACACCGCTCCCTTAATCCGCGTTGAGATCCGGATGAGCGCTGTTGGTGGATCCTAATATCCGTTAAAGGGTCTCGTGGAATCGGCCGGCGATTATCCGCTATCTTCGGGGCGACTGTTACGTCGGGGGTGGGGGTGGGGGGCGGGGCGGCGGATAACTGGAGTCAGCCGTGGTGAAACGTTCGGTTAAAGCGCGGATAAAAGCGGGTGGAATTGCTTTCTCCCTCCCGTCCCTCCCTCCCGTCCCTCCCTCCCTTGCCTCCCTCCCTTCCTCCCCTCCCTCCCCCCTCCCCTCCCTCCCGCGGGAATCCCAGGAGCGACAAAGTGCGTGCTGGCCGGGTTGTGCCGCTTCCCGGTCGCCCCCACGTTCCCGGCGATCGTGGACAATTTATCTCGCTTTGAATAGGCTGGCTGGGCGCAGACGCGTTGCGGTCATGGGGGGGCCCCCCACCGCTGGGGTAGGTGGGGGGGGGGGGTGTAAGGGGGGGGTAAGGGGTTGCCGATTTCTTTTTGCAAGCTCGGGGAGTCGAACTTGGGTCCGCCCCGTGGCGGAACGCGTTGGCCGCTTCGCCACTGCACCCCCTTCTCACGTGTGTGTGTGTCTGTGTGTGTGTGTCTGTGTGTATCTTTCTGTATGTGTGTGTCTGTGTCTACATGTGTGTGTGTATCTGCGTGTCTGTAGCCTGGCACAAGCATCGTGGTGACGTCACCGCCACTCAGTGGCCTACGGCGGTTGTTGTTGTGTCTGTACGTGTGTGTGTGTCTGTGTGTGTCTGTGTGTGTGTGTGGGGAGCGGTAGGTGTAGGGGTTAGCGCCACGCTGCGCTATGAACCTGGCGACCCGGGTTCGATTCCCGCTCACGGCCAACACCAGTGACGATTATCTGAACCGGTCCCGGGCCTCCCCTAGGTCGACCCAGCCTCAAATGAGTACCTGGTGCGGTGTGTAAACATTGCCACAAGGGAAACAAAGGCGGTTGGGCGTGGTGCTGGCCACCCACCCCCTCGTGTACCGTTACCGGCCTTCATAGGTGCTCGCTAACAGCACTTGCCCCTACAGTCTGTTAAGGCTATACGGGGGATCTTTATCTTTATGTGTGTGTGTGTGTGTCTGTGTGTATCTTTCTGTGTGTGTGTCTGTGTCTACATGTGTGTGTGTATCTGCGTATCTGTAGCCTGGCACAAGCGTCGTGGTGACGTCACCGCCGCTTAGTGGCGAACGGCGGTTGTTGTGTTGTGTCTGTGTGTGTGTCTGAGGGGTGGACAGTCCTCTACTCGGCGCAGCAGACTGCCAAACAACAGGGTGTGGGAGCGTGGGAGCGTGGCGGTGAGGTGTGGGAAGCTGTAAGCCCCAGGCTACTTTGGGCTCGCCTTCCCATCAACCGGAGGCGAGGAATGGTGGTCGTGGTTACTTATGCCCCCACCGAAGACGAACATCCGTGGAGGGATGCAGGCAAAGCCGATGAGTCAGATGCCTTCTATGACCTCCTGTCACAGGTGCTGGCTAAAGTGGCCCCTCGGGATAGAGTCATCATGTTGGGTGACTTCAATGCCCGAGTTGGTCATGATACTGGCACCTGGTCTGGAGTGATTGGAGGGCATGGGCCAGATCAGCTCAATAACAATGGTAGGAGGCTGCTAGATTTTTGTGCAGCCCATGGGCTTGTAATTACCAACACGCTGTTCCGGCATCGGCGCATCCACACAACATCATGGATGCATGCCGGGTCCAAGCAAGAACATCTGCTGGACTACATAGTGACGGACCAGCGAATGCGAGCCCATGTCCTTGACACCAGGACCTACCGTGGAGCTGATCTGCCCTCTGACCATCGACTAGTCATCTGTAAGATGCGCCTGCCATTCTTCCACTCCGGTGGTGGGTGTACACCCAGGACCCCATTCCAACATAAAGTGGCCTGGTCTCAGTTATCTGATGAAAGTTGCAAGCGAGAATTTCATCATCGCTTGCGGCTGGGATTGGCATCGTCCCCGACTCCTCCTGATGTCGAGGGTAAATGGGCGAGGTTTAGGACTGTGACTCATGCAGCTGCAATGGCTGCTTTGGGTACGCGGTCCAGACCTCCCCAGAGACCCTGGCTGACAGAGGAGGTGTTCAGGATGGTTGAGAAAAAGCGACAGGCCCACTGTCATCGGCTACAGAATCCCACGTCAGAGAATGAGGAGGCTTACCGCAGCCTTCGCTCGGAGGTTCGGAGAGCCGTGAGGCGCTGCAAGGATGGGTGGTGGTCGCGGGTTGCTGAGGAGATGGAGTCTGCCTCAGTGGCCCGTGATCACAAATCTTTATTTAACTCCATCAAAAAAGTAACCTGCAGCGCCACACCTATTACCATCATTAGGGGAAAAAACGGTGATCCAATCTTCGACCCCCAGGAACAGGTTCGCAGATTTGCTGAGCATTTCTGTGAGGTCCTGGGGGAGGGAAAATCCCTCAGCCAGGAAAACATCGTGGCACAAAGTGAGGATGACCCTGCTGAGGCTGCGGTGCCTCAAATATTGGAAGAAGTCACCCCCTGTGAGTGGCTGGCTGAGGTGCCAT